AAAATTAATGAAATGAAATCCTAGAAGACCCAAAACAATTTTGAAAATTTAGAACCTGGAGGAAATAAGCCACCTGATTTCAAGACTTACTATATAGCTATAGTAATCAAAGCAGTGTGGTATTACATAATGATAAACACATTGATCAATGGAACAGAACACTCTCCTGAAACAGACCTGCATACATAGAGTCAACTGATTTTCAACAAATGAGCAAAGGAAATGTCTTTTTAATAATGGAGGCTACAACTGGATACACATATGTAAGAAAAAAATCAAACTTGATTGTTTCCTGACATATACACCAAAACTTATTTGAAATGGCTCACAGACCTAAATGTGAGAGCCAAAACTTTAAAACTTCTACAAGAAAAGGTAGTAAAATAAAAATCTTTGTGTCTCTGGATTAGGCAAAGATTTCTCAGGAAGAACACAAAAAGCTTGAACCATAAAACAAAATGAGAAAGTAGACTTCATCAGAACTTACAATTTCTGCTGTTTGACATATACCACACTAAGAGAAAAGGCAAGCAGGTGACTGGGAGAAAATACTCATAACACAAACATCTGAGAAAGGACTTATATGTAGGATATTCAAATAACTCTTCCAACTCAAAAACAGAAAAAGAACAATTTGAAAATGGGCAAGAGTTGAATAGTTACTTGACGAAAGATGTACAAATTACCTATAAGTACATGAAAAAGTGCTCAACATCATTAATGTTCAGAGAACTGCAAGTTTAACTACAATGAGATTCCACATTTCCACTAGAGTGGCTAAAATGTGTTGATGAGGATGTGGAGTAACTGGACTCTCACATATTGCTGCTGGGAATGCAAAATGATTCCACCACTTTGTAAATTGGCCATTTCTCCCAGAGTCAAACATACACTTACCTTATACACTTACCTTATAAGAGAAATGAAAACATATATCCACAGAAAGACTTCTATACATCTAGTCATGGCAACTTTATCATGACCAAAAACTGTATAGAACTGAAAAATCCATCACTAGGTAAATGGATAAACAATTTCTGGTATATCCACACAAATACCACTGAGCAATGAAAAGGACTGAATGACACACATTCAGGAATCTCAGAACCATTGTGCTAGAAGAAGATACAAAAAGGACTGTGATAAATGATATGAAACTCTAGAGAAGTCTGAGTATACCTTTGACAAAACTCTACAACTGTACACCTCAAATAGGTGCATTTTATATGTAAGTTATAGCTTGGTAAAGTTAACATTTTCTACGTATTAGAGGACATAAGATTTCTCCTCTTTAAAATAGGGACAACAATATCTACATCATATGTTGTTGTGATAAGTAAATGAGTTAGGATTAGTTCCTATGAAACACTAAAGGCTTGTCTGGCATATAATAAAAACAAAAAAATGTTAGCAGGATAACTACACGACAGAGTCACTATAACCAGTAGTTCTCAATTTAGAGTAACTGTGCCCCCCCAGGAGAAACTGGGCAATGTCTGCAAACATTTCTGATTGTCATGATTGGAGGGGTACTACCAGCAACTAGCCAACAGAGGTCAGGGATGTTGCTAAACATCCTACAAGGCATAGAACAGCCTACATAGCAAACAATAATCTGACCCAAAATGTCAATACAACAGAGGTTCAGAAACCTGTTTATTAAAAAAAATAAGTGACAGAACAATCCACAGATGGAAAATAAATATTCCAAGTGCACATAATCAACATGGAATTCAAATCCAGAACGTGTAGGGGTGTGTGTGGTAGTGGTGGTGCAAAAGTAATTGCATTTTTGGACCATTAATTTTAAATCATTATAACTAGGCTCAAAGACATCTTTATTAATCAAAATAGGAACCATTACAATCAACACATTTTTGCCAATGAGAAATAAATTTGTTTATTCCTGTAGCATAAAAATCCATGCTTCCGATTCAACAAACTCTTGGAAAGCATTTTTCTGCATCCTCCTGGTGTGGAAGCGTTTCACCTGCAAAAAGTTGTCAAGATGCTTGAAGAAGTGGTAGTTGGTTGGCAAGAAGTCAGGTGAATCTGGCAGATGAGGCAAAACTTCATAGACCAATTCCTTCAACTTCTGAAGCACTGGTTGTGCAACGTGCAGTTGGGCATTGTCATGGAGAAGAACCGGGACCTGCCAGGAGTGGTGACTCACGCCTGTAATCCCAGCACTTTGAAGGCTGACACAGGTGGATCACTTGAGGTCAGGAGTTCGAGACTAGCCTGGCCAACATGGTGAAACCCTGTTTCGACTAAAAATACAAAAATTAGCCAGGTGTGGTGGCAGGTGCCTGCAATCTGAGGTACTCGGGAAGGCGAGGTAGAAATGCCTGAACCTGAGAAGCAGAGGTTGCAGAGGTTGCCGAAATTGAACCACTGCACTCCAGCCTGGCGATAGAATGAGACTATGTCTCAAAAAAAAAAAAAAAAACCAAAAAAAAAAAAGAATTGGGCCTTTCTGTGGACCTACGTCAGCTGCAGGTGTTGCAGTTTTTGGTGTACTTCATCAATCTGCTGAGCATACTTCTCTAATGTAATGGTTTTGCTGGGATTCAGAAAGTTGTAGTGGATCAGACTGGCAACAGACCACCAAACAGTGACCACGACCTTTTTTTGGTGCAAGTTTGGCTTTGGGAAGTGCTTTGCAGCTTCTCAGTCCAACCACTGAGCTGGTCATCACTGGTTGTCATATAAAATCCACTTTTCATTGCAAGTCACAATCTGATTGAGAAATGGTTTGTTGTTGTTGCACAGATGACGACACTTCAAAATGACAATTTAAAAAATTTTTGCTCAGCTCATGAGGCACCCACTTATTGAGATTTCTCATCTTTCCAATTAGCTTCGAAATTGAGTTCTTAGGCAACTTCCTTTGTAGTTGTAAGAGGATCAGCTTCGACAATTGCTCTCAATTAGTTGTTGTCAACTTCCAATGGCCGGCCACTGTGTTACTCATATTCAAGGCTCTAGTCTCCTTTGCAAAACTTCTTGAATCACAGCTGCCCTGTATGTTCATTAGTAGTTCCAGGGCCAAATGTGCTGTTCATGTTTCGAGTTGTCTCTGCTGCTTTATGACCCATTTTGAACTCAAATAAGAAAATCGCTTGAAGTTGCTTTTTGTCTAATATCATTTCCATAGTCTAAAATAAATATAAATGGCAAGTAATAAGTCATTAGCAAAAAAACATAAAGTGAGAAATGCCCATTAAAATGATGTATAACATAACCACATTTATTTAAGAAGGTTTAAGAGGGTATTCCAGTATCAAATGACAAATTTCAACAATGCAAAAACCTCAATTACTTTTGCACCATCCTAATATACCCTACAAACCAAAAAGAAAAGAACAAGACCAACAGGAAAAAGAAGGAAGAATGAGACCAAGACCAGAAAACAAAACATCCTCGTCCTGCAAGGAATGCAAAGTAAACACAAGATAGAGTTTTAAAACCAATAAACTGACAAAAAATGAAAATTCTGATACTATTACATGTAGGTGATGACACAGAAGAACAAGAATCTGTATTATACGCCACAGAGAAAAGGTAATTATGGCCAATACGTATACGTGCATGAATGCACATATACATTCTTATGCATGTATTAGAATAACAAACAATGATTAAACATAGTGGTTACTCTACAGATTGATATCTTCAATTACTGTTCCTGCTTTCTGGAAGCTTTTAAATGGTTCCCATTCACTGAACACTTATGCATCCAGTAAAGTACATAACATAGGTGCTTTATATACTTCATATTTGTTAGTTATTTAATCTGTTGCAAATATTAATAGTCCTCTTTTTTCAGATGTGTAAGACTGAGTTTCAGTGTAAACTGAATCTCTGAGAGATTAAGTCATTTTCTCAGATTCAGAACAGTAAGTGGCAGAGCCAGGATCGAGGCTAGGGTCTTTTTACTCCAAAGCCTAACCCTCTCTATCCCAGAGTGATACAGTATTATGACCTACGTACGCCCTGATACTTAACAAAATTAAAGCATCCTTGGGAATATTTCTAGTTTTCATAGAAAGATCCTCAATCAAGATCATTCTGGAATAGGCAGAAGATAAAAAGAAATGGGATGGCAAAATGCAGAGCAAGCAAGGCAAATGAAAGCTACAAACCTCGCCCCTAGATAAATGTACAAATGAGCCAGGAGCGGTGGCACATGCCTGTAATCCTACCACTTTGGGAGGCCAAGCTGGGTGGATCACCTGAGGTCGGGCGTTCAAGACCAGCCTGACCAACGTGGTGAAACCTCGCCTCTACTAAATACAAAAAAATTCAGCCGGGCGTGATGGCAGGTGCCTGTAATCGCAGTTACTTGGGAGGCTTAGGTAGAAGAATAGCTTGAACTCAGGAGGCGGAGGCTGCAGTAAGCCGAGACTGCGCTATTGCACTCCAGCCTGGGCAACTGCAAGAGCAAAACTCCGTCTTGAGCCTGTAATTCCAGCACTTTGGGAAGCCAAGACGGGTGGATCACGAGGTCAGGAGATCGAGACCATCCTGGCTAACACGGTGAAACCCCATCTTTACTAAAAATACAAAAAATTAGCCGAGCGTGGTGGCAGGTGCCAGTAGCCCCAGTTACTCCAGAGGCTGAGGCGGGAGAATGGCGAGAACCCAGGAGGCGGAGCTTGCAGTGAGCCCAGATCGTGCCACTGCACTCCAGGCTGGGCAACAGAGCGCAACTCTGTCTCAAAAAAAAAAGTAAAAAAAAAATATATATATATATATATATACACACACACACACACACACACACACACAAACACACACACACAGATGTGCAATTATGTATATAATTTCAGTGGTTCACAAATTCCCTGGGAACCCCACCGACAGGCTTTTCTTCGGATTCCAGGTTAAGAACGGCTACTTTAAGAACTAAATTCATTTATAATATTTAAGTGACCATTCAAATTTCTTTGGCCAGAGTTATGCTATCAGTTAGTGCATAAGCGTTTCACTCACACTGCTCGTGTTCAGAAATCTTTTACCTTGGTAAAATTTACCATCATTCTTACTGTAATGAGCTCTTTGACCTAGAAGTACATACAAGGGAAATAATGAGATTGGTAGACATATGACACTGGTAGAATTAGTTTAACTGAACATCTGTGTAAAGGCTACCTTTGAGAATTCAAAGATAAAACAAGGAACACCACACTAAAACAAACAAAAAAAAGGGTTGGCTTTTTGTATCTACAGACAATTACTGGTAAAACTTACATTCCACTTTATACATACATTTGCAAAAATGCACCACAGGCTTCAACATCTTCAGCTGTTATACAAGAAAATGTCACACAACAGGGACATAAATCCACTAGTCTATTTTTTTCACGTGTATTTGTCTTTTTCTTTGTATGTCCTTCTTTCTCATTTTGGGCACTGGTTCGTGGCTTTCCTATTCTCTAGTTCCACTTATAATTCTTTCATTCTGCCATTTTTATCCTTGAAAAAGATGTAGGATTATTTTGTTATACAGATTTCATGTTTTCCAGCAACCTAGCTAATCTTTCCCTCAATAAATACATCTAAACCGGTTACTTTCTTAATCTATCCTTCTCAATTGAGTCTTTTAATATGAACCTTTTGATTGTGACAACAATACATTGCCCCACCAAACAGTTGTAAAATCTAGTTTTAACAGAACCTCCCCAATCCTTGGTATCTGTTCTTCATCCTCCACCATTCCCCAGATGATGTCTGATCACGTCTTCAGCAAGAATTATGTTAGGTTACTTTAGCCAGAACCGGATGTATCCTCTTAATAATTTTCCATCCACTGATCGCCCTAGGTCCAACCATCTTGTTCCTTGGCTATAAACCCTCACTTGCCCATGCTGTGTTCAGAGTTGAGCCCAATCTCTTTCCCCCACTACAAAATCCCATTACAGTGGTCCGTATACTTATTTCGAAGGTCCTGAATAAAGTCTGCCTTACTATACTTGAACGAGTATCATCAAATAATTTTTTTAAACAATAGGAAAGGGAGGCACCGTCTATATTGTATACTGGTTTGGAGGCATGCTCCATCCAGCATACTGTCTCGTTTATTTCACAAACATCTGAGTACATCTATGAGAAGAATTGTGTTATGCAGACAAAAGAACTAGTGAACACTTGTGGGAGACTTCAAAAATTAGAGAAATGATGTAAAATTTCCTTTTTCTTAATGATTGATAAAGCAAGTCAGCCATAAATTTATCTGCAACGTTTAAAAAGTTATATTTTCAACAAGCATAACGTGGGGAGAAAGATTACAACATAAAATGACTCCTTACCACATAAATTTGGCAATTAATGTTAATATTACCTCCTTAGACTTTAAAGAACACTCCCTAAGCATACAGATTTATAGTATTCAATCCCTTAATTTTTCTAAATATCTTCTAGAATTTGACTTTAGTCTCCTTTCCATAATTGAGAACAATTATTTCTCATAAAGATGGTCTGCACGCCCCAACTTAACTTTCATCTAGGAAATTAGTGTAATGAATGGACCAGACTTTGACGTTTTTAAAATCTGGATTTGAAACCCGGCTCTGCAAACAAGCTAGTACAAGTCACTTGACTCCCTGAATCTCATTTTATTCCCCCTCGTAAAGCATGCTAAAATACATCTCATAATGTTCTAAGGGTGAAATAAAATAAAACATCTCTATTACTTAGCACAGTACTTGGCATAAAATCCAATGTCCAATCAACAAAGCGGATTCTAAGCTTCTCAACTCTTGCAAGAAAGAGCGTGCGTTTCCTTAAATCTCTGCCCTCACAATAACTAGCACTATTCACACACAAGAGAAACTCGGTGACTCCCTGGAACTGCCTTAGGAGAAAGTTTCTGGAAGTTTTGACATTCCAGAAACCTTCTCCTAAGGCAGTCCCTGGGAGTCACTGAGTCACTTCATTTCCATTATTTTTTTTGAGGTAGCCCTAACTCCACAGACGTATATTCCAGTATCAGATACACCAGATGTTTACACAAAAATGTTTTCGTGATATTTTAATCGTCTTAATAGCCTTTCAATAGGTTCTCATGGTTCTTAGAACACAAATTCTTTACTATGGCCTAGTGATCTAGTTGGTCCCAGCTCATTTGCCACCCTCACTTACGATGTTCTGGCCACATCTGCCCTCTAGCCGATCCTTAAATACCCTAAGCTTATTGCATTCTCGGGTCCTATTTCCCTCCAACTGGAATGCCCCTCTCACATCCTAACAGGCTAGGTTCAAACACCGCCTCCTAAGACAGCCCTTGTCTTGAGTTCCCTGCCTTTCCCAGTACTCCACTGTATTCATAGCATAGCACTTCCCCACCACCCCAAATTCTCCCTGGTTTTTTCCCAAGTGAGTTGTCTCCTCTAGACTGTGGGCTTCTTGAGAACAGGGACCGTGTCTGCTTTCACATGCCTCCCCACTGCCTCTATAGAACCGTGTCTGGCACAGAGCAAGCCAGCGACCTCCGGGCTGCGGCTTTGAGGCCCATGGCGCATTCGCTGTAACTGCGCGAACTAACTCCCAGAACAGCCCCCTTTCCTGGGTCTCGAGGCCAAGCGCCTCCTTTCCCCAAGAGCGCCTTCGTCGGGAGTGTTGGCCGCTCATCCTGCCGCGTCACAGGTGAGGTTTAGGATTCTCCGCCGCGGTGGACCTCCACGAGACCGCGAAGCAGGTGAACGTCCTCCCGCGGAACGTGAGCTGCCAAGGCTGGGGAGGGGAACAGAAGCTGGCGTCGGCTGCCTCCAGAACCTGTCAGGAGTCTTTTATGTGGACTATGGAGGTGAGGTGTCGGTCAGGGAGGTGGGCCCTGACTCAGAGCAGTAAGAGAGAGCAGAAAACTGGTCACCAAAAAACGGCTTCCAAAGAACCAACTGGAAAACTCACCGGAAAGCGTAGGCTGCCCAAACGCCCCGAGGGACTGAAGCTGAAGGGAGGAGCCCTCGTCAGCGGACAGGAGTGCGCGCGTCGAGTTTGCGCAGCCGCAGTAAAAGCCGCAAGCTCTTCGGCGGGCTGCGCAACCGCAGTGGAGGCCTCGTGTGCCCGGGGTGGGGCACGAAACTGGGCGGAGCTAGGCCCCCTCGCGCGCTGACGCGACTGGTCGCGGCGGAAGGGTGTAGGCACGCAGGCGCTATGGTGGCTCGGGGGCAGGGAGGCGGGGCCGCGCAGGCGCTGTGAGAGGCGGTAGCGGCGGCGGCGGCGGTGGTATCGGCGGCAGCTGTGAGGGGGTTCCGGGAAGATGGTGCTGATCAAGGAATTGTAAGTGGGTCCGTGGGCGCGAGCAAGGCCGCGGGACGGCAGTGATGGGAGATTTGTTGATGGAGAAGTGGCAGGATATTCCTAAATCGGAGTCAGCCCTGTGTCAGCCCCTCCCTGCGGGCGCCCCTTCCCTCCCACAGGCGCCCCCAGCCCCCTCGAAGCCCCTCAGCGAGTGCGCCCCTCGGCCCTCCAGGCACTGCCGTGGTAACACGGCCTCTCTCTTCCCCAGGGCGAAGGCGGCTGGGTCCCGGCCCGAGCGCATGGCTCGGGAAGGCGCGGCCGGGAGTTTCCGCTGGGACCCGCCTTCTCCCCAACCCCCCACCCCTAGTCTGGGTCTGGGCCCACCCCCAGGCCCGCCGGTGGGAAGGAGCCGCAGTCCGAGGGTGGGAGAGACACGTTGATTCTGACTGTGATTTGTCGTCCGGGGTGGAGTCCGCTGGTAACCAGCGGGAGATGGGCTTGCCGGTTGAAGGCAGCCCTCGTGTCAAGACTCGCGGTGGGACGTTGGCGCCCTGAAGTTCGTGCTGGAGCCGGGAATCCGGAAAGCCTCCACTCTGCTGGGCAGCTCCGTTGACTTGACGGGAGACCTTTTCTCTTTTTGGTTTCCGCATGTTTTAAGATGAGGTGACATCGTGGGCCCCACCTACTTTCTTAGAAGTTAACACGTGGTCTGTCAAATGGAGGGATTTCGAGGTGCATCCGACCGGCCAAGTGCTTTTGTTGAAAAGTCACGGCTTTTCCCACTGGCAAGGACTGTAAACATTACGGAAATCTCCCTGCCTTTGAATGTTCAACTGTCACAGCTGGTTCGTGTCGTCAGCATCCTTTGGGCAGCTAGGGAGGTCGAGTATGGCCCATTCGTTGGTTTTCAAATTCTTCACTTTAAATTCTTAGAAATAGTTTTGGCTTAATTTAGCTTTCTTCAGACACCTTAGTGTTCTTAAACCTCCTTTAAAAAGTCATTGATGTCACTTCTCTGAGGCTTGATACCTCCCAAAGACTCCCTGTCTCACCCAGAATAAAAGTCAAAGCCTCTACAACAGCCACAAGGCTTTACACTTTTTTTTCCTGCCCTGATCTCATTTACTACCTTTCCCTTGCCCATTCCATCTTCGCAAGCTTCCTTGCTGTTCATCTGCTACTCCAGAGTAAGTTCAGTCCAAGGCCTTTCCACCTGCTTTTGTTCCTTTTGCTTGAAGTGTTCTTCCCTACGCTCTCTAACTCACCTCCTTCCAGGTCTTTGCTCAGACGTCACCTTCTCAGGAAATCCTTTTCTGAAGACCTAATTGCAGTTCCCACTATTTGGGGTAGTATTTATCTTCCCTGCTTTATCGGTCTCCATAGTACTTATCACCATCCCACGTGCAATACAATTTATTGTTAATTTTTTTCTCCTACTAGTTGTATTCTCTTTTTACATGTAAGGGCCATGAGTTTGTTTTGCTCTCTCTCATATCCCCAGTTTTTAGAAGAGTGCCTCGCATGTAATAGGTGCTCAGTAAATATTTGTTAATAAATTGATGAAAAATGATAACTTTGGCCAGTGACAGGAATTTTGAGAAGAGACATTTTGCCTTTTGTTGGTAGAGTGAAAATTTGCGGTTAAAGCTTATTTATAGTACTGAATATTGGGCTTATATAAAACTTTTCTTTGAAGTCATTTATACGGTGTATCAAACAAGTGTTCATTACTCTGACTTCTATATGATGTAGGTAGATGGGTGGCAGACACTAAAACAAATGGAGAAAATAAGAAAGAAGGAAATTAACTTGGCCCAAGTTACACGGCAAGTGAGTTGCAGAACTGATTTTAAATAGATCTAGTCATTTTTCTTTCATTGGAGTATTTCCTACCTCCAAAAATGTTACAGAAACACAGTGTTCAGTAGGTCCCTCTGACAGTATGTGAGTAGTACGAAGCTAACTCTTGGAAAGCAGTTCCTATTGGGAATTTGCTCACTGTACTTTTTGCAAACATTTGCTTTCATTATGAAGATTTAAATGTACCCAGATAATGAATGTTGACACGTGCCCAAAGTCTAATTATTTTTCCCAAAGAGTTATAAATTAGATTTCTTGATGTTAACTCTTTGTGTGTATCTCCCCTAGATTTTTTCTCCTCCTAGACTTTTTGAAGGTAGGAGCTGTTTCTTAAGTAATGTCAGTATCTAGCACAGCCTCTAGTCCTAACATGCTGTATTCAGTGTTGTTCAATAAAAAATTGATACTTATTACTCTCAAGTCAACTTTCTAAAATTCTTGTTGATTAGGAGCAATGAATAGCTTGTTCCTATGTGAAGATATTGGCAACTAAAATATTTTCACAAATGTTTGTTGTCTTACAAAATTCTTTTTTTTTAATTAAATTAAATTAAATTTTATTTTTTTGAGGCGGAGTCTCACTCTGTTGCCCAGGCTGGAGTGCAATGGCATCATCTCTGCTCACTGCAACCTCCGCCTCCCAGGTTCAAGCGATTTTCCTGCCTCAGCCTCCCAAGTAGCTGGGACTACAGGCGCACACCACCATGCCTGGCTAAGTTCTTTGTATTTTTAGTAGAGACAGGGTTTCACCCTGTTGGCCAGGCTGGTCTGGAACTCCTGACCTCAGGTGATCCGCCCACAAAGTGCTGGGATTACAGGCGTGAGCCACCACGCCTGGCCCTCTGTTTATTTTTTTATAAGAATGAAAATGTTAGAAATGACTTTCGGAGTGGGCTGTTTCCCTTCAAGTTATTATTTAAGCAATAGACGAAGTTACCATTAATGTAAACTCCTGGTTTTAAAGAATTAGTTACTGATTCCATTTGGAAATTATGAGGATTTTCAGACATTTGAACATTTTCGATTGGCACTGAAAGTTGAATACTGCTTTTGGAATAACAACAGAAAATCAAAACCTGTATGTTCCTTTTCCCTTTTACTTGTTAAGCAAATCTTGAAGAAGTTACTTGATTCATTGTTCTGAATGTCTTAATCAGTCACTTTCATTTTTTGAAAGAAATTTCCTTGAAAGTGTTCTTAAATAAAAATAGGGATCTTCCTGTTAGTGAGTATAAAATTACTCAGCAGTGATTCTTTGGTTTTGTGAAACTTCAGGGAAGACTAACTTTTCCTTCTCTATCCCTTCCTTCCATTCCCTCTGCAATCCATCATCTTGGTTCAGGCCTTTGTGACAGTTCTTGCCTAGCCTCTCAAAAGATAACTTTCCCCACTTCTCCTGCTTGTCAGTGTTTTTAACCACCTGCAGATGACTTCTTCAGGTCAACTGTAGTTGTCACCTCTTGGAACAACCTGGGATTCCTTATTGCCAAATGGATTTAATGGATTTCTTACCATAGTATTCCAGGTCCTGATAATCTGCTCCCAGCCTATAGCTTTCTAGTCTCCCCTCCCCCATTTTATGTTCTGGGACAGTGAGCAAGTTAGTGTGTACTGAGGAGAGAACTAAAATGATTCGGAATTTTTAGGTATGGGAGGATTTACAAGAAGTTTGTTCTTGATGGAGAGTAGAAATTAGTGACCATTGTGGGTTTGAGAATGTTAATTGTTTTTGAATCACCATTATCAGAAAGACAGAGCGGTGAGTAACTCAGTAGTCAAAGGGGAGGGAGTAACAGACGTGTTGTACATGTTGGAGATTGAGATAATGTGAACATTCAGGCATAGATGTTTGAGGAGAGTAGGGAGAAAGGAGTAGGTGGAAAGTGTAGCTGGAATGCAAACTAGATATAATCTGGGTTGTATTACCCTCTTCATACTTACAAATAAGAAAGACTATTAAAAAAGAATGCCTAGGCCAAAAAGATTGTCACTAATACAAAAAGTAAGCTAAATGGCTCTTACTGTAAGAAAAAAATGAAAAGAAATTATAGCTGAAAAGAAATTGGAATGAGGAAAACTATTGAAAATTTTCCATAAAATGACAGGTAAGATTAGGAAAATATGAGAAGGATCGTATACCCCCATCCCCCAAAAAAGGAAGTTGCTGTCTTGGAATCAACTGTAATTATATACAGGGATGGTCTTGATTTTCAGAATTTATGGTGGAAATAAATTAAGGACTCTCCTTATAAAATCTAGAGATAAAATGCAATATTTTGATAAAATAATATACCATGATATTGTTTTTGGACTTTGTCTTTTAAGACTGCTTGCAATGGAGCTATAATGACATCTTTTTGATATATACAGTAAGAAACTCTTGGATAGGATCAAACATATGTCAATCTCATATTGTATATATGCTGGAAGGGATTATTATAAGCGTCAAGTAGTTTCCATAGTAAAATTTTTTCTTATTAATTCTACACGACTCCTTATTTTTATCTCAGTAAACTTGAGGAATAATTGAATAGTGGGGGAACAGTTTCTGGAAGCGTTTATTCAATGAGATTCAAGACACGTATTCTGTAAGAAGCATCATAAAAACAAAAGGCACAGTATATAGGTGGAGAATGAAACCATTCTAAAAATTTTGTCAGGGCAACCTGACCAGACAATCTACAAATAATACATTCTGTACCCTGCAGTTTTCGATGTTGAGTTTTCTGTTTTTTCTTTACTCACAAGAATCTCTGCAGCTGCTGTTTGGGGTCCTGGGAACACTAAATGCAAATGATCATTGAGACCCAGGAATGATAGTTTTACTTCCCCAATTAGGGTGTAGGCATTACAAAGACCCTCTTCCATAAATGACACCCTTGTATTTTTTGATTTAAGAGACCTGTCTCTGTTATCATTGGATTTAAGGTGAAACCTCTTCAGGGATCTGTGTTTAAAGCTATTTCATATGTAATATATATATTTTTTTCTTTTGTCTTTTTAGCCGTGTGGTTTTGCCATGTTCTGTTCAGGAGGTGAGTTTTTCTTGCTTCTGCATCATTTCATTGGTATATGTACTATACTTTGATATGTTACTCTAAACTCACATTTTCATAGTATTGATTTACCTTTTCCTTCCACCCTACGTGACAAAATTAATTATATGAATGATAATTGCA